CCCATACCCTCAGCCATATCCAGTAGCACCAGTAGAACTATGTTTTGAAGGAGGGGTTAATGAGAAGGATGTACTTGGATATGAAATATTGATATATAGAACATTTAGTTGGATTGCAACAAAGTGCTCACAGACAGAGAAGTGGGACTTTAGATGGAGATAGAAAAGAGAAATTGAGTAATAAGATGGAATTGCCAGAGAGGGAGAGAGGGGCTGCAGCGTGACAGTGTAACAGACTACAGCAGGTGAAGAAATAAAAGCCTGATATAAAGATGAGTGGTAGTCACAGCTTCACGGTGGTTATGGCTTTGCCTGGAACAGGGCTTCACATTATTTTTCTGATAACTCATCACAGCCTTTAGCAATGTTTAGAGTTCCTCATAGATTACTTAACATCTAAAAATACTATGCCAATAAGTATTTCTGATGAAAAATGAAATAAAATCCAGTTGTGCCTGTAAATCTCACAGTGTTTGAAATTGAGATAAATTTTTACAGAACAGGTTATGTTTTTTTTTCTTACACACATCCTTTATTTGTATCAAAAAAAAAATCTTAGGGTGTGCATGACTTCCCCCTTTTTAAAGGTCTTAGTTTCGCTCTTTTATTCATTATTAGCCTTTTGGGAGCCTTATTGCTTTGCCCTAATTGAAGCTCAGTGCTTTACTAGTTTCTTATATGTGTGTGAGAGATCTATATATATTGCTGATTGTGCAGAAAGTGTAACAGTGTGACTTACTGGAGTAACAAACACGAAGCGTGGGCAGAAGGTAAAAAAAATAAAAAACGTATTTCAGAGTCTGTTTTTTAGACCCTTGGCTGTATTCAGAGCTTCAAATATGATTTATAACTTTCTTCTTCAAAATTATTTAGCCTTTTGTCAAAAATTTTGAAATCTGGCTGGAAAGAGATATACTTTTTTTTTTCTCATTCTCTACATATCTAATTTTATTTTTTTTTTTTTTTTTATTCTGAGTTGTTTTTTTCTGGGATCTAAATTCTTCCACCTACTTACCAACCCACTCTTCCTTGGTCCTTCATCCAGCAGAAAACAAAAGAATCGCCCTTTTACATAGCATCAACCCACTCTTTAAAGATTCTTTTAAGATACATCAGGAATGTATAATATTTATTGAGCTATTTATAACTTACCTCAGTTCATGCTGTGCAATAAAAATTAGTTGGTTTATGTTGCAGGAATGGAAAATTTTGAACTTTTTTGTGGTCTGAGTTAACTATGTTTTAATTTGCTAGAGTTAATTGAAATAACTGTTAAGTTCTAGTGCATGTTATGTAGTAATTAGCGTCTCCTTTGCATGATCACATTCTCCTTTGAGTCTCTTCTCTTTGAGCTCTATAATTTTCTCCTATTCTTCTAGACGTAATATAAATGATGGGTAAATTACCAGCAATTTTGTTTTTTGGGATAAGAAATTTTCAACTTATTCAGAATGCTACTTAAAATATTACAGCAGAGCCTTATTTAAAAAGAAAAACACCTTCCAGTAGAAATAAAAAAACAAAAAAAAACACACATTTTGAGGTAAAGGATATAAATTCCAGTCTAATTCGGTTCAGGAATCACATCTACTAGGTCAGGTGTTGGTTTACAGGTGGTTTTAAAATGAAGGAGGCTTAAAATTGACTATTTTTATCAACAGTTCAAAACTGGGTATTCTACTTTAGAATGAGCCACTCATTCAGGCTGCATATAAAGAACTTTGCTTTAGCACGCCCTGGCCATTTTTCTGCTTTTTTTCCCTTTTGCAGTTTTGATCATTTCATTGCACCATTTTATTATAAGGTCTCTCTGTTTTGTCCTTAAAAACTTTTAAGATCTTTTGATTATGGTATATGCTTGAAACCAGATATCCAGTTCTGTAGAATTTCCAGAATTAATTCAAGTTTTCTCAGATCCCAATGGGAAGGTTAACTGGGTAATTATTATTTTTTTTAATCAAGTGATCTCTGTGATCAGTTAATTTAAGTTAAAGTTATTGTATCTAAAAAAGATACGATAACTGTTTATGGGTTATGAGTTAAAAGTGTGAGCGTTCTTTAATATTTTTTAAAAGAAAGAAGATTATCACTAAAAGTACTCAGAATTCAGCCACATATCTATACAGTTTATGGCAAAAACATAGAAAAACCAAACAATACATACCACAGTTTATGTTTTCTGCTCAGTGCTGAAGATACACTTATTTCTTAAAACTACCCTTATGCAGTTTTTTGCTTCTTTTTTTTACTTTGGACCCATTTTTTATAGACATGAAGCTTTTCCCTTTAAGTAAATGCCAGCTAACAACCTCAAAGAGGTAAAAGTAAACATCAGAACATACTCTGATGTCACCACTTAAAGCACTTAGAGCAAATTAGAAAGTGATCTGGGAATTTGTCAATGTTAATCTGGCAGGAACACAGAGTGGACATCAGGCATAGTTTCCACTCCTATAAATCATACTGTGCATAAAAATCAGAAGTGTAGAAACATCCCTTTATCATTCTGATGATTCGATCCCCTTCATGTTTTGCAGACAAAAGGATCCAAAGGTTAGATAAGAAATAAAAATATTTAGTTAGTTTATGGAGATGCAGTAGTATGAGAGGGAGCGACTGTAATTTTCTTTGAATCGGATGGAAGGTAAAATGTATCAATGGAGAGGATAAGTTTATAATTTCTTTTTTATTTATTACAAAATATGCTTTAAGATTACAATTTATCCATTTCAGATGCACTAACACTTAACATCCCACTATTGAAACCCAAATGAAGGCTTTTTTGCTGCGGCTTTCATTTCACTGTAATGTAATTACTTTTATATCAACATGAACACATTGCCATTATTAGTCCAGAGAAGGCGTGGTTGTGGAAGAGAGGGACAGTACAAAAACAAATGATCTGTTGCACTGAATACGGACATGTTAACGTGGGGACTAGACCTGCATGAACAGAAAAGAAAGATTGATGAGAAAAAGAAATGAGATACTGGAATGAAGGGTGGGGGGCACTAATGTGTCCTTCATGGGGTAAGGCTGGGCTGAAATGGCTCAGCATGAAGCTAAATTGACTCCATTACAAGAGCACTGCACCGGAAAGCATCAGTGACATCACCCGCCCATCCCAAGATGGGCAGTTAACGCTCTCGGAGGCACTGATGTGAGTAGTATCTGCAGGATGCAGCAATTGCTGTGGTTTGTACTGCTGCTTTGCATGTTGTTCACCTGACGCTGGGACTTCTGGTACATGTAATATGGTGTCCTACAGCATATGCTTCTGAACTGGCAAGCACAATAAATGAGTAACCTTTTAACAAAATAAAATACCCCCAAATGAAAACTGCATCTAAAAGACATTGTCCCCATTATCATAATGAGGTAATTTCACTTTTAGTAACAAATTATTTAATCAGTGCTTTTAGTAAAACTGTATGTTTAGCATGAATTACACATGTAATTTTGTCACCCTCTCTGTAAAAAGCGCCAAGATAAAATATTTTCCTTCTTAGAGATTTTTCCGGTTCTACTTCATAACCAAACTTTTTACTCCAGTTACCATCATAGCTAACAGTTTTCTTTAAAAAAGACAACTTCTTGGCATAACCATCATAAAATCTTTCATACTAAAAGATGTGTATAATATCCTTATCATAAAGCACTCACTCAGTAGGCACAGTTTTTCTGCTTTTAGGGCAAAGATAATGGTATTAGTCTCAGTTTAGTAGCGTAAAGTGTGCTATAATACACAATGCTCGAAACAAGTCTCATAGTCATTGCATTTCTTTTTGAAAGAAGAGGAAAGGGAAAAGTTACAAACCTTGCAAGGATTCATGAAATAGAATTTTTTTTCATACTTTACAGTTTTGCTTAAATCACGTTAACTGCAAACATTTCAACCAAGATTGGCCATCTATCATTGCACATTTTTACTAGAAAGCAGGTGCAGCATCTGCTTGACATAGTGAACCATTATAGTCGGCTCACCAACCTTAGTTTCTAAAGACAAAATGCAGTTAAAATTCTTCGTTAAATCTGATCCGTCAGCCTGGATCAACTACAGAGCACTTGAATTCCTATCAGGTCTATTCCAGTGTCAGATTGCTCAACACAAGCTTACGAAAAGGTCGTGCTACCAAAAGCATTGAAATTGTATGCCAGTGTATGATTTGTTGTCATTTATTTTTTTCTGTGACTTTCCAGTTGTATTGACCTTTGGGTAGTACAGTAACATATTTGATCCCATAAACTTTCCTTATTTGGACCTTGCTTAGGATTACCTGGATTTCATGTTTTTAAACACTTTCCCATTCATTTCAACTTCTCCATGCCTTAGAATGTGTTCTTACTGTTGACTCATACCACTGGGGCTTCCTCTGCTTCTGCGTTATTTATAGTCAGAAAAAGACAAGAAGGAAGATGTAACCAAGACAACAGTGGATACTTTCACACTTTTCTCGGGATTGAAGTGAATCTTAAAGAAAGCATGCAATTATGTCTCTTCTTCCTTCCTGCGATACACCATTGTGATTAGAGAAAAAAAAAGAAAACATTAAGCTGATGAACGTCCAAACAGACACAAATGGACACTGTGCAGGAGGCGTGAACAGCAGCATTTGTCTCTGTGTAATACTTGTTTGTGTCACATGCGTGATACACTATGGCCATAGATGCCACAGGCCTACCTTTCATATCCTAAATATAGGCATTGCCAACAGTTAAGCTAAAATTATGCATTGCCTCTTGCTTCAGTGATGAGCTACATTCAGGTAATGAAAAAGTATAAAAATATGGTATGCACGATCGAACAACAGATTAGGGGGGTTTAGCAGAGCCAAATATGCTGCAGTGTAGAGCAGTTAATTAAAAGGAGCATTTGGCAGACAAAGTGTGGTAGAAAAACAGCTTACAAGGTGGAGTTGCTATGCCACACCTCTGGTCCAAAGGAAAGGCAGCCCAAACCTTTTTGGCCCCTTGCCCAGTCCTGGTGTTTATGCCCACAGACTGCCCTCTCCAACAAATCAATCCCTGGACCTTCTGTGAAGAAGGAGAACCTGGTGTCTGCTTTCACCTGGGTCGATTTCCATCCTGTGTTCTTAGAATTCCCCATGAAAAATAAGCTGGTGAGAGACAAAGGAGGGAGACCCTCTCATGGTTAATGCAAAAGAATTACATTCTCTTGTTGTCTCATCTTGTTTCATCTCGTCTCAGGTCCTTTCTATTATTGATGACTTTTTTGAGAGAAGTTGCAGGGCTGCTAATTTCAGATGGCAGGTCTTATTCAATAAGCAATAACTACTGACTTTTTTTAGAAAGTCTTTCAGGTTTATAAGAAGGTAGCTATATTACGCTGACCTGTATATATTCACCTAAATGTAATTATCTGTTTGACATGTTTTAAAAAGACATCTCTTGTATTTTTCTCACATATTGTCTCTGCTTTTATAGGAAAGAAATTACATTAATGAATAAAAAAGCTGGTGTTTTTGTGAGTGTGTCTTCTACGCCAGAAGAGTAAAGTTGCAGAGAGTACAGAATATCTAATTGCTGCCATCTTTTTTGTGCCATGAGCTTGATGCTTTATCTTAAAATGCATCTATTTTATTTAAATAAGATCCTTTTACACAACTTCCACCCACATACATGAAGACTATTTAAAGGGCTTTCTTCAACCTACTTTAGGTTTTATATATATATACACCATCATTTCCATTAGTTTCAGCCCTTATTTGAATTCAAATATATTAGGTCTTTTCACCAATAGACCATTTACATTTGTTTTAAAAATCAATGATTAAAATTATATCATTGATACAAAAAGAGGTAAGAAATTACACAGTTTGCATTTCCTCACTCTAGGATAATTGCTTATGGATAAAGTTGAGCATTGCATGGGGAAAAAAGGCTGTTACTTCCTGTTCAAGACATTCTTTACTCTTATTAGTAGGGTAATTACCCAACAGGCCCCAAGGGGGTGTCGAGCAACATTTAGTTTAACAGTCTCTTTTATCATATCTGTTTTAATTATACCAATCCTTACTCAGAATTAGATAACTTATCTCTTTTAGAAAACTCCTCACCTAGAGCATCCTCTCTTCCAGTCAGTGCCCCTGCATCTCCTGTGCTAATAGCACAGCGATTCCTGCAGTGTCTATCATTACTGGGCAGTTCTCTGTCATTTCTATTAAAGCTTTATGCATCAGGAGGACAGGCCTCCTGCTACAGTGGAGGTTAAATGAAAGACACTGTGTTGAAAGGTGCCTCAAGAAAAAGCTGCCCTGAAGGGAGAAATGCCCATAGGACAGGATTGCATTGAAAGGGTAGGAGGGATTATCTGTCCTTGCATTTATGCTAATTTTGAGGCGTCTTACCTCACAGCATGACAGTATTGGATGAGAAGGTTGCATTTCATCAATGGATATAAAAAAGTAGCTGATGTAGGGAAAATGAAAGAGAGAAATATCCTTAGGCAATGGAGAAATAAAATAAAAAGGGAAAGAGTGGCATTGAAAGGCAAAGAAAAGGACACAGGTGTCTAATGTAGAGTTGGCTTGATACTGATGAAAGGCACAACTTCATAGTTACATTTTGCCTTCACCTAGATAGCTCTGCACTGTTCTTTGATGTGTTTCCTCTGGAAAGCAAACTGTCAGTTCATTTAAGTGAAGTTGGATCCAGGTTTTGTACCCTACAGGATGAAAAATAATGGGCATTTCATACCTTTCCATTTATAATGGTACTATCAAATTCACCCGTCTATGTTTCTTCTGACATGCTTTGAAAGTGCACTACTCAGCAACACACTGTGTTAGCAAACAGTTTAGGTAACAAGATAAATGGTTTTCTGTGTTTTAAAAGTGGCACTTGATGACAAACAAGACCCCCAAAATAGTTGTAGTCCTTTTTTTTTTTTCTGCCTTGGTTCTATGTAAAGTTTTTTTTTTTTTTTTCAGATCTTGGTATTAAATTAATATAAAAAAATAGTTTGGGTCTTTTTTAGTTTTTTTTTACGGCACTAGTGGCTATTTTTTTATGGACAGTAAGCCAACAGGAAAGGGCGGCATGAAAGAGGTGGAGAGAAACATGGGAAAGGACCATAGGCCGGACCCAAACCCGGGTTGCCCACTTCGAGGACCAAGGCCTCCATACATGTGTCATGTGTGCTAACCACTGCGCCACCAAAGCACATAAATATAAAAAATGTCAATAGATCATATTGTAGTCAGAATTAAAAAGACTAAACTAATGCTTAAAAGCTCTATGTCTTTTTATTTTGAAGCCTTCCAAAGTCAACTATAATTGATTAAACATTTCCTTTGGCACTACAGAGTCTTTATTTGCTATGAAATATTAATTGTTTTCTGGTGCTATTTTTCCAACCCAGAGGAAAGACATTTTACTGTGACAGCAATTCATTTCATAATTCCACCCTAAAGCGACTGTACTATGGCATCGCTCCAGTTACAATTTTTCAGGATAATTAAAAAAGTCCAAGACACCAATTGTCGGTAAATAAACTTTTTCACAATGTAGGCATTAGCAAAAAACAAAATGTTTCTGTCACTATACAGATTAAATGCTAAAAGAGCCACTTCCTCCCAACTGTGAGAAGAAATTATGCTCTGACTCATATCACCACTCACTAATAAAAGAAATGGGCCGTGTTGTTTACTGGGCAGGTGTAGGGCAGTCAAGGTAATATTTTCCTTTATCATTTCCTATGCTGGTTATTTTGCTCCTCACTTTCCCCACCAAGAAAAATGAAGCTGCCATTAATTTAAAAAAAAATCAGCCGGTGGTAAATCCAAATAGTAATTAGAGAAGGGTGCTAGCATCTTCAGAGGGCTGCAGTTTGCTGTTTGAATTCCTCAGAGGGATCCACTTAGGCCCCCTCTAGACAAAGCTGGGTTTGAGTGTATACAAAAAGCTTCTTTGTCAGCTATCTTAAAGAAGCGGCCATAAAAATTACTACATTTGAAACCAGCTCTAAGAATGGATAAGTTTGAAGCAGTAGGAGGCAGTGCTGATGACATGCAAAGATTACTGTGCAAATTTTAAGACTTGGAAGCTGGCTTGGTTTCAACCAATTAACACAAGCAGATTGCATATGCTGCAGGCAGTTTGACAAAAGCCATGTAAAAAAAATATGATATTCTAAGCCATGTAGTTGTCAACATAAGAAAGTTGTTTTGCTGCTGATTGACCTTCCTGTCCCACCCTCCCTGACAAAGAGGAAGCCCCTGTCTGGTTTACAGCAGATTAAGATACAAACAGCTAGATTAACAGCAGCCAACTCCTCTCAACAGTAGCTTGACCTGGTATAATACAAGACAAGGTAGGCAAATAATTATTCAAAAAACGTAACAGCTGTGCGGAGCCCATTAAAGAACATTAAGGGAGAACAAATCCCTCTTGCTTCAAGAACCAGATTTTCTCTTTCAGCCCTTTATGCTGGCCTGTATAGAACTTTTTTCTCCATTATTTTTCTTCTATTTTCAATTCTTATGGTTCAAATGTGAACGCAGAATCTCCATTGTCTTTCGTCGTAATAATATTTCGTTTGAAACTGTAGAAATTTCTCAATCTGACTTTGCACCTGAGTTTCACAAGTGCTAAAAAAGATGCAAATACTGAGACCACAATTGAGTTTTTAGATAAAAGAAAAACGCTTTCTGCAGGGTAGATATTTACATTTGCAATTTACATATCCTCAAGCCATGAATTTGATCAGTTTTGTCACTAAAATATGATCTACATATTATCAATGAAAGCACACTCTGCGTACCAAAAAAGTTTGCATATGTTTTAAGCAGGGCAAACCTTCTGAAGACCTGGCCCTAAATTCCTTACCCTTAATCACTTGTGTATATTTGCAATGTTCACATAAGGAATGCATCATTAACAAAACAAATGTTATTTTAAAGGCATAAAATTACCTAGTTTTTTTTTCTCCACATTTGATTCTATCTAACTTGCTTAGATGGTCATGATTTGTGGTTTTCAAGGACTGGAGTGGCAACAAAACATCAGCAGGGATGAGGCGATGGATGTGATATTTTTGATAAAAGAAAAAAAAAAACTTGAACAACATTAACTTGGGAAACCCAAAAAATAGGATGACAACATGATGACAACCAACAGACAGAAAACACTGACATATACAACAGGGAACAACTTAAAACAGGTGAGTTCAATTAACTCAAACAGGTGTGGATCATGAAAAAAAAAGTTTTTTTTAATTGAAAAGTTTCATCTGTTACCTTATTGAGTTTTACCACAAAGGAAACACATTGGATTAGACTTAGTCTGTTTTGTCTAAATATGTCCAAATTGTGGAAAAGGGTTTCTCAAGATAGAGAAATCCCCATGGCTGTTCTTTTTCAGCTTTATTTTTTTGTATCTTGACAGCAGGACTGACTCGACTGTGCTCTACCTGTCCTGTGAATGTGTCAGACTCCCCCTCATCCTTCTGGGGTTCCTCCCACACAGCAGCAAGCCAGCATGGCCGTTGGCAAAGTTAGTCTTTCCACTTCATAGGAGAAAAAACACACACACACACATACACACATATAGTTAGATACACCACACAAAACCTTGCAGCAAGATAAACAAATGTCAAAGAAATGCCTAAGAAATAAAAGATGTGAACCATAACCTGTGAGATTGATAAGAGGAACATCTACCAAGTGGAAGGAAACAAAAAGTGGTTTTACTGAGTTGAGAGAAAACAGAAGAGATGAGGTGATGAATACAGTAGAGACAGCTGAGTCATTTGGCTTTGGTCTGGATAATCAGATATTGTTATTCATGTGGAGCAAGCTGCTGCACACTGCCATGGGCCATGTGCAAAAGCTGAATGACTGTAAAGGAAGCGAATGACAAGCTAATGGACTTCTGTGGGAGTGTGAGGAAGCACTCAGGGGCCAGCTATGTGGATCTGTATAAGTATTTACTTTGAGGCATTTGCACCATCACTATGGCTATTCAATAATTCTTTTCTTATTGCTTCTTTTTCCTCATCCGACTAGGAGTATTGATATTTTTCAGTAAGTTGATGCAAGCAGTTTAAGAGACATTTTTTTTTATATAATTCCTAGCTTGTATTCACTTCAACAAGAACAGT